TTCCAGTCCAGCTCTCTGCTGTGGCCAGGAAGGCAGTGGAGGATGGCCCAAGTGCTTGGGCCCCTGCACCTGCATGGGAGACCAGGAAGAAGCACCTGGCTCCTGGCTTTGAATCGGTGCAGCGCCAGCCGTGGGGGCCATTTGGGGAGTGAACCAATGGAAGAAGACCTTTCTCTCTGTCTCTCTCTCTCTCACTGTCTAACTCTGTCAAAAAAATTTTTTTTCCTTTGTTGAGCAATGGGTTATGCTGCTGCCTGCGATGCCAGCATCCTATTTCAGAGTACCAGTTCGTGGCCCAGCTGTTACACTTCTGATGCAGTTCCCTGCTAATACACCTGGGAAAGGAACAGACAATGGCCTTGGTATGTGGGCCCTGTCACCCACATGGAAGACCTGGATGGGGGTCCTAGGTTCCTGGCCGGTGCAGCCACTTGGGAAGTGAACCAGCATGTGGAAGATCTCTGTCTCTCCTTCTCTCTGTGTCACTCTGTCTTTCAAATAAATACAAGAAATCTTTAAAAAAAATCCTCTTTCATTTCAATTAACATGAATTATGGGGCTCCTGGACTTCAGCTCCCAGTGACTGATGAAAGGGATTCCATCATGGTTGCTTGTTGGCCTCCAGTGCGTGCTGAACTTCTCTGCTTTTTTACTCTAATTTGAAAAACTCTGTCTTCATCTCCACCCACTTTTTAAAAAAATTTATTTATATTGAAAGATTTGCAGAGAGAGAGAGAGAGAGAGAGAGGTCTTTCATCTAATGGTTCTCTCCCCAGATGACCAGAAGGGTCAGGGCTTGGCCAGGCAGAAGCCAGCAGCCAGGAGCTTCTTCCTACCTCCCACATAGGTGGCAGAGGCCCAAGTACTTGGGCCATTTTCAGTTGCTTTTTCCAGGCAATTAGCAGGGAACTGGATCAGAAGTGGAGTATCTGGGACTTGAACTGGTGATTGTATGAGATGGTGGCAGTGGCTGTACCCACTATGCTATAGCGCTGACTCTTACCCAAGCAAATTCTGTCTAGTCTCTAAGGCCCTATAAAGTCATCCCCTTTCTCTGACCCACCTCTAAAAACCTGTATCATATGCCTGTGTCATATTTAACAGACTATAGGTGACTGCCACCACTCCTTATAACTTCTCCCCTAAACACAAGCCCAGGACATAGCACAGTGTTTTCGGCAGAAGAGTCCCAGCAAATGCTGTGCCTGCAGAGAAAGGGCAATCACACCACTGCCTGAAAATCAGCCTCTGCTGGGGTGGGTGTTTGGCCTAGCAGCTGAGACACCCGTATTCTGAGTCGGAGTGTCTGGGTCCCAGTCCTGGCTCTGCTCCCTATTCTAGACTAGTGCTAATGCACACCCTACCTGTGAGCCACTGAGTGATGGTTCAGTAGTTGAGTCCCTGTCACCCACATGAGAGACCTGGGTTGAGTTCATGGCTCTTGTTGCTGGCCCTGAGCCAACCTAGGCTATTGTAGGCCTTTGGGTAAATGAGAGCCCCCTGTCTGTTTCCCTCTCACTTCCTGTACCTCTACCTCTGAAATATATTAGTTAAAAAATTGTCCTTAACTGATGTATGTTATGGGACAGGAGCTCCTGGCTCTTCTCATGGAGTCAGATCATAATGTACACACTTTGAACAATTGTAGTTGGGTTATAGTTTTTCCAGTATTTAATTGATGTAACATAGGACTCACCCAAGTCTGACTAAATTTATAAGCCTCAAACAATAACATTTTCTTATATTAAAAAAAAAAAGAATTTTCCAGAGTGGGTGTTGTGGTGCAATAGGTTAAGACTCCACTTGTGACTTCTGTGTCCTACATAGGAGGGCCTCTTCAAGTCCCAGCTCCTCCACTTCCAATCCAGGGTCCTGCTAATGTGCCTGGGAGGTGGCAGATGATGGCCAGAGTGCTTGTGTTTCTGCCATGCATGTGGGAGGCCCGGATTGAATTAAGGTTCCTGGCTTCTGCCTGGCCCAGCCCTGGCTACTGTAGGCATTTGGGGAGTGAACTAGTAGATGGAAGATCTGTGTGTGTGTGTTGGGGGGTGTCTCCCCTTTTCTTTGTCCATCTACCTTTCTTTCTTTTTTTAAAGATTTTATTTATTTATTTGACAGGTAGAGTTACAGACAGTGAGAGGGAGAGACAGAAAGAAAGGTCTTCCTTCCATTGGTTCAGTCCCCAGATGGCCACAACAGCTAGAGCTCTGCCGGTTTGAAGCCAGGAGCCAGGTGCTTCTTCCCGGTCTCCCATGTGGGTGCAGGGGCCCAAGGACTTGGGCCATCTTCTTTTGTTTTATTTGACAGGTAGAGTTATAGACAGTGAGAGAGAGACAGAGAGAAAGGTCTTCCTCCACTGCCCTCTGGGCCATAGCAGAGAGCTGGACTGGAAGAGGAGCAACTGGGACTAGAACCGGTGACCATATGGGATGCCAGTGCTACAGGCAGAGGATTAACCTACTGTGCCACGGTGCTAGCACCTTGTCTATCTTTCAAATAAATGGACAGATCAATCAATCAACCCTAAAAAATATTTTCCAAAGCTTTTCATCCCAAATCTTCATTATCTCTTAGTCAAAATCTCCTTCTGGAACCTTGCTACCATCCTTCATGATGCTGGTTTAAATTATATTATTGTGTGAATCTGTCCTCTAAGAGGATAAAGCCTGAAGCCTGTAGGTAATTCTCTCACTGTCCCTGCAGTCCCAGTGAAGTCTTACACTGGTTCTATTACTTCTTGCCTTCATCATCCAAAGCCTTGTTTTCCCCTTTGTTACTATTTCCAGCCCTTTATCTTTAGCCTTTTTTTCCCATTTCTCTAGAGGTTCATTCCCCAAACTCTTCTCCACCAATGTCAAGAGTTCTGGAATCTGACTACAATCTCACAGAGTAGGAAAGAATTCTCCTTGTTCTCCGGATGTTACAGTAAAAGCAGAAATTGCGGCAGACAGGATTGAGGTCAGACAAGAAAATCACCCCCAGGGGTTTGAGATTGTAGAGTTGTTGAAGAACTGTGAAGGGAGTGTTTTCCGGCAATAGTTCCCATCAGAAGCAGCAGCAGAAACCTTAGTCATTTGTCATTATGACTGCACTGAGAACATCATCTATCTCCAGTCTCTCTTCTTTTAAGGGCTGCAGCCAGAATTTTGCTGCACATCAACACAGGTTATGTCAAAAAGGGCAGGTACTCACAGTAACTTGTATGTATAGGGTGTCTTACATTTACACATAAAACCTTCCTGTACACTGCTTCCCTTAATCCTGACAACTGCTGCTGAGATAATCATCTTTATCTGAAGTTCAGTGACCGGGGACTTGCCTGTGGTCATGTGTTTAGCGCCTCCTGACGCTGATGTTTGAATTCAGGTTGTTCTGACTCCATGTGGCGTAGTCTTTTCACTTCAAACGGGATGAGGAGACATGCCACATCCATGGAAAATGTTATTTGGGATGGAGGAAAGGAGAAACTGCTTTAGTAAATTCTCTACCTGGTAGTCCAGTCTCAAAGAGGCAGCACAAATGCAATGTGATTTACACTTGTCTTTGGGGCAGCCCCAGTGGAGGCAGTGTTGCTTGCCTTGTGTTATTAGCCTGGTTTTCCTTCTTGACTCCAAGCAGGTGATTATGAACCAATGTAGCCTTTTTCAGGATTACAGAATGGTTTTTCCAGTGAGCTTCCAACTAGGTTCCAGTTGAGAGGAGAACGTGCCTGAAGTTCCACTTGACTTTCAGGTGGCTATGGTGTTGGGGACATTCATCCATGGCTATTGGCCCCCCAGCCAAAGCTGCCACCAGTGGCTGTCCTGTAGGTGTTTGTTGGGTTTGACTGGCCCTGAATTTCCCATGCTAGTCTGGGGAATCTTATGGGAAGAGCAAGGAGAGCCACATGGACAAGGAGCCCTCAGAGGGCTTGGGGCCATAGGCATGTATCCGACTCGCCAGGGACTTATTTGAATATCAGACCAACCAGTACTGGCTTGTTCTACCAACTTGTATCTGCCTAATATCAACTTCACCATAGGGGTATTTTCCAGGAGTCCAGTAAGTACTGGCAATGCTTCTTTGAATTCCAGAGGTTTATTTAGAAACTCACTAGCAGGAGAATTGTAGAAAGAGCTTGGGGCTGGGAACCAGAGTGAAGAGTGACTGGTGTTTGGAATCCCAGTTCCATCTTCTTCCTGTGTAGCATCTACAGCAAAACATCCTGTCTTCCCTATACCTAAATTTCTCCAACTGAAAAACAGCATATCAGGCTTGTGCGCTATTGGGGGTTATAAGCAGGTCATGTATGTTAAGTCTCTGATGTATAAAGGAGGAGCTATGATTATTATTCACCTGTTCTCAGTCTAAGCCATTCACTAAAGTCAGGATATTATCAGGGATGAGGGAAAAAGGCAGAAGGGGTGAGCAGGAGAGTACGGTAGAGCGTGCAAAATCCAGACAGCACAGGAGGGATTTGCTACTAAGCAGAGGTGCAAAATGGGCTGCAAAAGACCTTGGTTCCTACCTGATGTTTAAAGGGATCATTTAAGTCCAGTTGATGCATTGTGCAATTGAGGAAGCTGCAGAGAGGGAGAGGAGTTGGAGGGGGGAAAGAAGGTGAGAGAAGGAAGGTGGGAGAAGGGAGGTGGGGGGGGAGAGGTTACCTGGGGTCATGAAGAATATAATAGTCAACGGAGCTCAAACTCAGAGCCCCAGATGTTTGCTAACCCTGTATTCTCACCTTTCTCCAGCTACTTTTAGTTTCCATGGCCCAACCCACAGTTCACGTGGAGTCTGCTCCCAGGGACGTGGTAGGGCAGACCTTTCTCTGCCTCTGTCTGTCTGCACCTTTGCCCTAAGCAGTGACTGTGAACTGGGACTGAGAGTGAGAACGAGAGTAGGAGGAGAGAAAAAGGAAATGGAGTTTCCGTGATGTGGCCATAAGATCGTCTGCATCCACAGTGAAGACACACACCGGTGTCACTGTCAACAGCTCTGGGGAATCCCAAATCACCTACCTTTCCGTCCGCGGACAGGAAGAACGCCTCCTGCAGCCCGACGTTGACCGTGCCCACTGCGCACACACGCTGCCCTCGGTGGCGGGTTCTCATACACCCTCTTCCATGTCACTGCATTTGGAGGCTCATCAAGATGAAGCTTACCCTGAGCCTAGCATTTAGGCATTCCACAACTCTGGCTTAAGGCAGCGGTTTGATCTATTTTAGGGAAAACGAAGGATGTTATGTGAAGTAAGAAAGCAAGAAAAATGACAATTAATCAATATAATTCTTCCCCCTCCCCAACACACAATCCCTTCCACAGATGAATTTAGCTGAAAGAATGCAAAAAGATGACCATGGTAGACCTCCTTCTCTCTCCAGTCCTTTCTTCTTCATCTCCTGGATGTGCTTTATGAGAGAGAGAGACAGAGAGAGAGAGAGAGTGTGCTCCCATCTGCTGGTTCACTTCCCAAATGCTTGCAATAGCTGGGGCAGGGCCAGGCTGAAGCCAGGAGCCAGGAACACAATCCAGCTCTCCCACATGGGTGGCAGGGACCCAGTACTTGAGACGTCACCACTGCCTCCCAGGGTCTGCATTAGCAGGAAGCCGGAGACAGGAACAGGGCCAGAAACTGCACCCGGGTACTCCAATATTGGGGGCGGGCATGTTAGCCACTGGACTAAACGCTCGTTCCCTCCTGCTTTCCTTTCCCACACACAACACGTGGTCTTCTCAGGCCTCAGCTCATTTGACTGAATTCTATTTTCAGCCCCAAACCCATGCTGAAGCCCTTGTGCTTTAGGCCTGGGCATGGTCAGGGCACAGGGCGCTGAGAGTTCTGGGATACGCAGTTGGCTTCTGCCCCTTAGGTGGAAAGCAGCAGTACCGTCATCAGCATGCACGTGGAAATAAACGTTTGCTCTTTCCCCGCCGGAGCCCAGCGGGAGCCTTGTGAGTTATCTTATGGGCTGAGGCCAAACTTTCTTTCCCGTCTCTCTTAGAGACTGAATTATAGGGGCCGGCGCTGTGGCGTACCAAGTAAAGCCACCACCTGCATCACCGGCATCCCAAACAGGCACCGATTCAAGTCCCAGCTGCTCTACTTCTGAACCAGCTCCCTGCTAAGGTGCCTGGGAAAGCAGAGGAAGATGGTCCAAGTCCTTGGGCCCCTGCACCCTCCCTGTGTACCCACGTGGGAGACCCAGAAGAAGCCCCAGGCTCCGGGCTTCACAGCTGTCTGGGGAATGAACCGGTGGATGAAAGATCTCTCTCTCTCTCTCTCTCTCTCTCTCTCTGACTTTCAAGCAAATAAATAAATCTTTTTTAAAAAAGAAATGAATTGTAAATCTTGAGCAGAGTGACTGTGCTGGGGTCTCCACACATCAGACCAGGATTCCATCCTGAGAGAGCACCCAAGGGGCTACAAGAGACCACCTTGCATCGGCATGGTTGTAGAGAGTGGCCTCTCTCCCTGGGTGCCTGTGAATAAGAAGTCTTGTGTCAGGTTTCTTTCTGCCCCCCTCCCGCCGTCCCTTCAGCCTGTCATCTCCAATAATATCCTCAGCGGGGACAGACCCCACATGGGGCTTCCACTCATCCCACTACTGCTCCATGTTATAGAGAAATCTTGAGTCTTTGGCTGCAACCACTCCATCCAGACAACTGTTGAGTCTGAAGTGCGGACCCCGCGTTGGGGACCTCCGACCCCAGCTCCGCCCTAGCACTGTCTGGAAAGTCCCTTCACCTCTGTAACCAGGGCCGTCTGTGGTAGACAGTCATGAGTCTTTTCCGGGTCTACACCCGTGGCCCTCCTGGTCTTGTCGAACCACGGCTGGAAGACCCTGGAATCCTCTCGTCCTCGCTCTGCTCTGGGGATTTAGATCTCTTCCCCTCCACCATGAGCTCACTGCCGCAGCAGGGGTGTGGAAAGCCCTGGTGCGGGGAATCTGCCCACCCACACGGGAGGCAGGTGCTTAGCCTGGCTATGACCCCTCCCCCCAGCATCATGTAGGTCACTGAGAGGATGACACACCCATCTCCATCTCTGCGACAGGAAGTCTGCTTATCTGCACGGAACTCCCAGCAGTGTCCAGCTGTGTGACTCCTCCCCCCTAGTGAGTCCCAGAATGCCTTGCTGCCATTCACCTCCTCAGCAACCATGTACAGGGGCTGCAGAACGAGGTCTTAAACCCCCCCAGAGTGCAAACTTCCTTGAGGCTGGGTCTTCCCAATCATCCCGGCGATGGAACCTAGCCCGGGCCCTGCTCTGACACTGGGGAACTTTTCTCCTCCAGGTCTTTCAAAAGTTAAAACCAGATGGAAATTATGGCAAAGGTGAACTCAGCAAGACACACAGAAAAGCTTCTCAGGTGATAAAGGGGAAGCTTCCTAGACACTAGCTCAGGCCATCAAAGGAACCAGTGTTTTTACCTTGGCAATGGGAGGGGAAAAGAAAAAGTGAGGGCGGCGCATGCTGGTTCCGACAGGCACCACGTGTGGCAAGTGCTTTGCAGGTCAGAGGTGGGGTGGTGGGAGGTCTCTCTCCTCTTCACCTTTCTCTTGGTAGCCTTTTTTTTTTTTTCTGACCCATTTCCTTTTATCTCCTAGCATCATCCCAGATCAGTGCAGTCAGAAAAGTTGGCTCAAGGCCATACTCACTTGTCTGCTGGTGGAGAGCCCAGTTGTTGGCAAAGTGGTGCCCAAAGTCGAGCCAAGTCCTTGCCAGGTGTGGAGACTGCGGTGACAGCAGCGAGAAAGCCGCATGGTGTGGACCTAGCCTTCCCCTCCGCTCTCATTCATCTGCCGCTCTCTGCTCAAAAGAGGAAGCGGAAATAGAATTAGCAAACACACACACACATGCACAGGCCCCGCCTCCGACCCCAGCCACATCCTCTGTAGTCACAGCAGGGAGCCCTTCCTGCCAGACTGCTGCCTAGGGGCACAGCACAGCCCACTGAAGGATGTGAGAGTAGGAGAGTTCCTGCCACCCCAGGGCCCCTCTGCTGCAGGGGGAGAGCCCTTTCATCTTCTCAGAGAAGATTCCTGCAGCGCTGCCCCATGCTTGGGCCGGCTCTGGCCTGAGTGGATCTGTCCCCAGGGCCCAGGTCCTTGCCTTCAAAGCTGCATACCATTGGAAGCAACTTTTTCCTGTGCCATTGATTTCTCCTCCCCTCTCCTGTCCTCCTCTCCCTACTCTTCCCCTCCCCTCCTCTAGTCTCTCTTCTAGACAAAGACAGATCTTCCATGTGCTGGTTCACTCCCCAAATACCTCATTGGCCCCCTGGGCTGGGCCAAGCTATAGCCAGAATTCATAAACTAGATCCAGGTCCCTCACGTGGATGGCAGGGGCCCAATCACTGAAGTCGTCAGCTGTCGCCTCCCAGGATGTATATCAACAGGACGCGTGAACTGAGAGTGCAGCTGGTCCTTGAACCCAGCACTCTCACAGGGATTGCAGGTCCCAACAGGCAGCTTAAACACTGGGCCAAACACCTGCTCTCCTTTGTTTAAAAAGGTTATTTGAGAGGCATAGAGAAAGAGAGAGAGGGCTAGACAGAAAGAGATCTCCTATGCCATTGGTTCACTCTCCAGATGCCTGTAACAGCCAGGATTGAGTCGGGCTGAACGCAATCCAGGACGGCAGGGACCCAAGAACGTGAGCCATCATTGCTGCCTCCCAGGATCTGTGTTAGCAGGAAGCTGGAACCAGGAGTTGGAGCCCGGAATGAAAGCCAGGTACTCCAATGTGGGGGCACAGGTGTCTTTACAACTAGGCCAGACATTTGCCCCTGTGTTGATTTCTTAACACTTTGTTTTTATGCTTAAACCACTTCAAAGTCTTTTCTCTTTTCTGTTCTCTTTCTCTCGTCTCTTCCTTTCTTTTCTTCCTCTTTTTTTTAAAAGTATTTTATTTTATTTATTTATTTATTTGAAAGTCAGAGTTACACAAAGAGAGGAGGAGAGGCACAGAGAGGGGTCTTATATCCTGGATCACTCCCCAATTGGCCCCAATGGCTGGAGCTGTGCCGATCCAAAGCCAGGAGCCAGGAGCTTCTTTTGGGTCTCCCACACAGAAAGGACTTGGGCCATCTTCTACTGCTTTCTCAGGCCATAACAGAGAGCTGGATTGAAAGTGGAGCAACTGGGACTAGAACTGATGTCCATATAGGATGCTGGCACTGCAGGCAGTGGCTTTACCCGCTATACCACAGTGCCGGCCCCCGACTTGTCCTCCTTTTAAAGGAAATGACTGCTTTCCCAATCTCAAGCCAGACTTCAGCACTCTGTTACGTCCTGGAGTTGTCTTCCGTTTAGTGCCTTATGGAACCCCACAGCATTTTCCCCAGGTTTCAGCCATGCCCTCCACCCCCACCCAAAGTGTCAAATGCAACTGCCGGCCACCAGCCACCACCACCCCACTTCTCCAGGTTCCCCTAGCATACTTTCCTCTTCCTTCCATGTTGCTCCACTTTGGATTTCCTGATACTTTTCTGTTTCTGTTCCTCTGTCAATTATTTATCACAATATACATCACACAAAGCACTCCTCTCATGTGTTGATTTTGGTGTTTTTTTTTTTTTTTAATATTTACTTATTTATTTGAAAGGTAGAGTGACAGAGAGAGAGGAAGAGACACACAGAGAGAAATCTATCCTCTGGTTCACTCTCAACAGCCAGGGCTAGACCAGATTGAAACCAGGAGCCTGGAACTCCATTCAGGTCTCTCACAGGATGATAGGGGACCAAGGACTTGGGCCATCTTCCAGTGCCTTCAAAAGCACATTAGCATGGGGGCCGGCACTGTGGCGTAGTAGGTAGGGCCGTGGCCTGCAGTGCCCGCATCCTGTAAGGGTGCCGGTTCTAGTCCCGGCTGCTCTGCTTCCGATCCAGCTCTCTGCCATGGCCCGGGAAAGCAGTAGAAGATGGACCAAGGCCTTGGGCCCCTGCACCCATGTGGGAGACCCAGAAGAAGCTCCTGGCTCCTGGCTTCAGGTCAGCACAGCTCCGGCCTTTGTGGCCAACTGGGGAGTGAACAAGCAGATGGAAGACCTCTCTCTCTCTTTCTCTCTCTGCCCCTCCTTCTCTCTCTATGTAACTCTGACTTGCAAATAAATAAATAATTTTTTTTTAAAAAAGAGTAATACAAGTATGGGGAATGCAACACCCCCTGTACTTCCCTATTTCTCTCTCTCTCTCTCCCCTCCCCTCCCACCACATTCATCTCCATGGAGCTTGATACTCTCTGCACCATTTTTCTCAGGATGTGGAAGATGCCAGATACATGCCTTTTTGAGGCTTGCCTTGAAGTAAACAAATAAAAAGCAAGACTTTAATGTTCTCTGTGACCAATCTTTCATGCACTAATCAACTGCACCAACTGACGTCATGGAACCCTTAATCTTCATTTTAATCCCAACTTCCTAAAATTCATCTCACACATAACCGGTGTTTGTGGTGTATTTGGGATGGGGAAGGCACAGCCTCTGGAGGCAGTTTGGAAAGGTGTGAGGGATTTGAATGTTGAGTGACAGAAGCTGCAGTGTTCAGGTGTTTAGCGTCGGAGTGGGGATCCCGCTGAGTGCCTTTAAAGGCCTGGCTTGGTCAACAGAAGGAATGACCGTCTCTGCTTTCTATCAGCCCTGATGCTTTCCTGGTGAGGCGATCCGGCCATGGGTCAGGCCCTGACACTGAGGACACCGTAGTCCTGGACACATTGGTGTCTCCCAGCCCCAGTCCTTGGCTGTAGAGCAGGGATGATTTGACTGCAGGAGTGCTTGCACAGCTCTAGGAGTAAAGGAATAGAGGGTATTTACTGCGAGGCTGACCTCCCAACCCCATGCTTACCACATTGCGGGTGCACTGCAGACTCTGGAAGTACCCTGTTATCACTCTATCCAGGAGGCTATGAGGTTCCTCATTCACCAAATAAGCTGTTTCTTTTAAAAGATTTATCTATGTATTTTGAAAAAGTTACAGAATGAGAGAGAGAGAGAGAGAGAACTTCCACGTGCTGGTTCACTCCCCAAAGGGCCTCAAGAGCCAGGGCTGAGCCAGGCTGAAGGCAGGAGCCAGGAGCCTCTTCTGTGTCTCCCACGTGGGTGGGCCAGGACCCAAGGACCTGGACCATCTCTCACTGTTTTCCCAGGCTATAGCAGAGAGCTGGATCGAAAGTGGAGCAGCTGGGACTCGAACACTGCATGTGGCGATTTAACCTGCTATGCCACAGTGCCAGCCCCCAATAAGCCATTTCGCAAGCAACTTTTGTTAATAAAAAAGTGCTATTTGTGTGTGTTTTTTTTTTCCTAAAAAAAGATGTTTTCTTCTTCTACAAACAATTGTTGAAAGACAAGGATGAAGACTATTTTTCCTGGGAAGAGGAGGAGGGTCTCTCTCAATCTCTCCCTCTCCCTCTCCCTCTCCCTATTCCCCTTCTCTCTTGCCCTTCCTCCATCCTTTGCAAACAATTACTTCCTCTATCATGGGCACCGTGAACTCTCAGATCATAAATCCCAACATGCTTCACTAAGGCCACTTGTCCTTGCTACACATGACACACTCAGCATGTCAGACGGCTTCGAGGAGACCTTGCTCATTTTTTTCCCCTTCTGTTAAAAACAAAACCCTTTAACTAACTGAGCTAATCATCGCCTCTGCATTTCAGCAGTCCATGCGCATCGCTGGGCCGGTTTCCATGCCAGAGCGTGCCTTCCCTCATGTTTATGGAACTCAGGGAGAGAACTGAATGGGGAGTAAAGGAGCTATGTGTCCTTAACACTAACTGTGTAATAATGACTAAATTTCACCAGATACCAATTTTCTCTTCTGCTAGGGAGATATTTTCTAAGGTTCTCTTGGTTTTAGAAATCTATAACGTTCACACAAACTGCTTGTTTCCCATCGTTTTTATAACTCTGTGTGGTTTATTATGCAAAATGAAGATATGAAGTGTCAGATACTTGCAAGGAGTCATTAGAAAGGTAATCAAATCTATCTATCTATGTATCTGTCTATTTATGTATCTATGTATATCTGTCTATTTATGTATCTATCTATGTATCTATGTGGGTATCTATGTATCTATGTGTCTGCATCTATGTATCTTCTATGTATCTATATATCTATGTGTCTATCAATGTATCTATCTATCTAGCCTATTGCAAAGCCAAGCACACACTGCTTTTGAGTGCTGTTTTCCTCCTGACCTGGAACCTGCACACACCGATAGGTACGAAGGGTTTCTAAACACCAATGTGCCCATCTGGCCCCTGGGCTGGAGTTGGGCAGAAGCTGTGAAGCTGCCGAGCTGAGACCTGGGCTGGCATGCCGCCCAGAGCTGGGGCTGGGCCAGGACAGCTGCCCGGAGAGGCTGTCCCATGACAGGGGAGCGGCTGCTCTGGGCCGGGCAGCTGGGCTGCGCTGTCCCAGGTCCAGATGCAAGTCATCTGCTTCCATTTCAGCCCTCGGCCTTCTTCTTTCAGATCCTGGGCTCTGCAAAACTGCCCGCACCCCTCCTTTTCGTGAATCTGTTACCAAAACTGCTGATGTGGAAGTCTGGATTCATCTCATCTCTGTACCAAAAGCTCAAAAATGGGGAGAAACAGGCTCAACTCCTCAAGGGTTTCTGAACTTCCTCCAGGCAGAATGGGCTCCCCAGGGTCACTGGCCCTTCTCTCTGCTCTGTGTTCTGGGTGCTGGGATGAAATGGGATTCTCTACCTTGTCCACACCCCTGATCTGTACCTCATGCTGCTCAATGCTGGGAGTGCTTCCTGTCCACTGGGCCTTCCTTCTTTGAA